ACCCTCTTTGCGCTTCTTTGGAAGCTTAGATGGCTATTAAACAGAAGGATTTATCCATACTTTATCCAACATGTATGCTCGCACACCTCGCTGCCTGGACCTATTAGCGAAGGTAACGCTCAAGCAGACAGCCTTGCAGGAGCTGTAGTTCTGCCGGATCGCTTTGCACAAGCACGTTTGTCGCATGACTTTTATCACCAAAATGCAAAAGCATTACGGAGGTCATTTCAATTGACTCAGGAACAAGCTAGACAAATCATACCGTCATGCCCAGACTGCCAGCACATTTTACCAGTACCATCCATCGGAGTAAACCCTCGCCGTCTTTCTGCGCTTGAAATTTGGCAATCAGATATAATGCATATCCCTGAATTTGGCAGATTTAAATATGTACTTGTTTCTGTTGATACCTTCTTGTCTTGTATTTATGCCTCAGCGCATACATCAAGACGATGGTTTCAATATTTTTGGGAATCTTTTTGGAAATTTAGGATTAGCCGTGTGGATTAAGGGAATATTGCAGATAAGCTTGATATGTTTGATAATCTTTGTTTGTCTTTTAATTTGTATCCCATGTTTGTTAAAAATAATTCGCTGTTTAATAGACTGTGCCTTGAAACAAGCCTTCTTTATAAATAAAGAAGGGGGAGGTGTGGGGATCTCAAGGGCAGCAGACTCAAGAGCATCAGTGGAATGGCCTTGGGAAAAGGACACTGTTATGCTTGTTGGAATCAAACCATGGGAGTAAATGTGACAAACTAAACAACCTTTTGCTTAGCTGTATTAACGCAAAGTTTCTAATTATTGTACTAACTGTATTTTGTTTATTGTTAGTGTATCATCTGCTTTGTTTCTTATTATGTGTTTAACGATTGATTTGATTGATAATTTAACTAAGTCATGGCTGTTCAACAAAAAACAAATAAAAAAGGGTGAGATGTGGAGGCCCCCTTCAAAGACAATAGTACCAGATGCCTTGTTAGTAGATAATTAACCCCCAAGGACAGCAGTGTTATCAGCAGATAAGGAACAGAGCAGGAAAAGGAGGAGGACTGCAACCTCGTGCAGAATGTCTTGTCAGAAGATAAGAAACAAAGTCAGGAAAAGAAGATAACTACAACTGCACGGGTGGCAAGATGCTCATTGGTTGCAATTTTAGCAACACTTGTGTTAAGAGAGTATAAAAGAAGTTGGTTTGAAAATGAAGTTGTCCCACTCTGCATCCCAGACTGAGTCCATTCCTTCGCAAGGTGCAACAAAGAAGAAATGTTTCCATCATCTTCTAGTTTTGCTTTAAGAAGGACTGTCCTAGTTCAATATTTTATTATGCTTTGCCTTATTTATATTAAACAGGGTATCAGGATCAAGAACAAATGTCTTTATGAGGTTTAAAACCACAATGAAGGAAGGTCTTTTGATGTGGAGGGGAGACAGTCCCATGCGACCTAATAGTGATTTCATTTCTCTAGGCCTTCAAGAAGGAGCATTAATATTCAGGTAAGCTATAATTTCCTTATTTTTATTGCACACAATACACTTAAAGCTCGAGCAAATCTCAGCAACACATCTAATGCTTTTGTCCTTCAGTAGATTGCAGGACAATTAGAACTTCAAGGTTGATAGGTCCAATTTGTCTGGGAAAGGCTGGGAATTTAGCAACATCAAATTTTTAGCCTGGTTTTCTGAAAGTTACGAAATGAGGGTGACTGCTATAAATAATTTCTCTCAATGCCTTTTGCAGCACTTGCCATCTTAGTTGCATAGAGTAGGTGCGGGGTTTGCAAAGAAAAAGGGTTGAGGAAGGAAAGTGCAGTAACACCAGTGCTCACTGTAGACTCACTCCGTATCAGACACCAGAAACACATGTGGGAGCAGGTCTTCCAACACCCCAGCATATCCAGCTCTGTGACACAAAACCAGCTGGCGCCAGCTGTTTTTTATTTGCACCATCCACAGAACCACTTATTTAAGTAAAAAATAATATCAATAAACTGAAATTGGGGCGTTTTGGGAAATGACTGAGCTCATGTGCTCTGTTCCAGAATTGCTTTCTCCCTTATAGGCACTTAGACAAAGACTTCATGCAACTTTTGGCATGGTGCTTTTTAGGATTCCTGCCTTTTGAAAGGCGTATCTTTCCTCATCATCCCTCAATTGAGCTTGTGCAATATTGAAATAGAAAACTAAACATGTCTTTTTTATTATAATGGATTGTTGTGAAAGAGTGCTGATTAATTGACAAAGTTTTTAGGTAAATTTTGAACTTATTTGACTTAATCTGGTTGTCGTTTGCAGCCATAGATGCATAGACCAAATTGCATTTTGCTATTTAAATTAATTTCCTTTGCATAAACCCTTAGCTTTCTTGTTGTACTACAAACTAGGAGCTGAATCTGCAGAAGTGGTGCATTTTGTGAATGCCTTTAGGAAAATGTGTGTTTCTATGATGCTGGTTAGTAAATGGTCTGTCTATTCTCTTGTTTCTCTAGGCACAGCACACTTGTTTTAGGGTTATTTGTATCCCTAAATAGAAAGATGCACAGAGGTTTGAGATTGAAGCAGCTGAATTTTAGTGCTATAGCTGTACCTTCTGCTCATGTGCTCTAGGTGCTCTAGGTGACCCTGCGTGTGCAGAGGGGTTGGACTAGATGACCTCTAGAGGTCCCTTCCAACCTTAAGCATTCTATGATTCTATGATTCTATGTTTAGGCAAGTGTAAAATTAAGGTCCTAAATTATAGCTCATATAAACAGTCACTGCATACTTAAAGGGAGCACTGCCTAGGTATGTTTGTGGAATTCAAAACACACCTTTTCCATTCCCCATTTCCCAACAGACTGTAGGTTCACTGCTAAGTGTAATGGCTGCTCTTTTAAGCAACAATGCACAGTTATATCCTTATTTTAAGGAATCTTCATTCAGCAGGGATATGAATCTAATTTTTGTAGCCAAAGGTCTAACAGTTAGATAAAATCCTCAGCTTCACAATACCCAGATTCTTCTGTAGTTCTCAGCCTAGACCAATATCTGCCTCCAGAGTAAAAGGCGATGCTCCTTTGAGAGTCACTTAAGCTTCTAAGGGGATCAAATTTAAAACATATGTTTTGCTCTGGGTAGCACAAAACTGAACATACAATTCTCAGGTCCCTTACTCTATCCATAAACTTAACTGTAATTTCAGTCTTTTCTGAAGGGATAATGACATTATCTTTATAGCTAGGAGCAAGCAGAAGGCTAGCAGTGGCAGCTCAGGCTAATTCATCTGGTTTATTTAAGCAGCTGAATACCCCATAGCTCACTGTGTTGTAGCATCTACCATGAAGATAAGCCCAGGCACCTGAAGTGTAAACATGATGGGAACATTATGTCTGTTGAGTAATTTTAGTAGTGGCAAAGACAAAGAAATAATCAGAGCTGCAATTGAAGCAGAGAAGTTCATGACTATCTTTGCATTTACATCATTATACTTCACCCCTTCTTATTTACCCTATAATTCAGATGACCTGTAGATCTATTTCATGTTGCATGCTTTATTAAATGTGCTTGCAAAGACCCACTGCTCTCTCCCATTAGACCAAAAGATTTGTAGGTCACTGACCTTTGTCACCTTCTGTTTTGGGAAGAACGGACCTACAGAAGCACTTCTGCAGGAGAAAGTCTTGCATGTTCCTCTGGATGCTTGTCTTTGCAAAACAGGTCACAGCTGGACTTCCAAAGGATCCTACTTGTCCTCCCAAAATCCTAGTTGTGAGGTGCAGCTTGGGGTACAGTGTGAGGATGCTTGAACAAATTTATATGGAGCTGGTCTTTGCAAGGAAGGTGATAACATTTTCTATTTTATTTTTTAGCTATAATTTGGGCAGTAGAATTGCAGCCATAACAGTGAATGGCTCTTTCAGCGATGGCCGGTGGCACAGAGTCAAGGCTGTTCGGTAAGTCTTCTCTCTGAGTGGTGACACTTTATCTCAGAGGCATTTTGGTGATGCCCTGCCATAAAGGTACTGTTGGGCTAGGTGGTGGTTGGTCATGAATCATTGCATCTCCATGTTCTCACATCACATAGGAGCTGAACTCTAGGCAACTTGGCTGTTTCAATATGATGTACACAAGGACCATTGTATTAGAGGTGACAATGCCAACTTTGCAACTCAGTACAGCTCAAGGCAGGCTGCCAGAGTCATGCAGAGCTATTTGGAGGCTGTGACAGACATTCCTTAAACCCATACCATTTGGGTTAGGAGAATTTTTCTCCAATGTCTGCACTTTGAAATTCCCCAGTGAGCATCTTGTGGGCTGGCACAAGCACTGGAGCACTGACCATGTATGTCTACATTTTCTAAACTATTTGGAGGAGGTGCAGACATCTTTCAGTGTATATATAACTTGTATTTATAACTCATTGCCTCATAGGAGGCAAGTGAGCCCAGCAGGTGTGCATCCCTCTTCGTGAGATGTTGGGTCCCTGGAAATCACAGGCTGACATTAGCACAACTTGCGACCAAATTCAATGAGAATAGGAGCCTATCAGTTGGCTCTTCTGTCAATGCATCTACTGACCTTATGAAATGGAAGTGGCCAAAAGACCCTAGCAATAAAAGGGCTTTATGACCTTTTTTTATAAGTTTTATAGCTTGCATTAGTATTAGCTTGTTTCCCCACCCCTTCCTATTTAAGCTTCTACTATTTACTTTTTGTCTTACTTTTGAGACTCAAAAAGATATCAGGATCTGTCAATCTTCTCCTCACCCCTAGGTATTCATTCCAATCTTGTTTTTTTATGAATCCTTTGACGTATCTTTTCCAGTTGCTTCCTCCTCTGGAAGTATAGCCCCTCTTTGCAGCCTCTCTGACACTCTCCTCCTTGGAAAAGGCACCCTGATGCATCAGGACTGCCACAGCACGTCACCGTCAGTGGCTCTCCCCAGCATCAGCCCCAGGTCTTTGCACTGAATGGGGCATCACCTGGGTCTCCTGGCATAGGGAAGTGCTGTCGCTGCTGCTCCTCCCATTCGAACGTCAACTGGATGCATGAAATTGGTTTCTTTGTTGTTTCAGAGATGGCCAGTCTGGCAAAGTAACAGTGGATGATTATGGTGCCAGGACTGGCAAATCCCCTGGGAAGATGAGGCAGTTGAACATCAACGGGGTTCTCTATATAGGTGAGTATTTGCTGTACAGGGTGGCTGGAAGGAGCTGCGGTGTTGTTGAGCCCAGGCTCAGTCTGCCTGAGGAGGGTGGACCCAATGTGCACCATTGTCTCCCTGTCAGGGGAATGCAGACACTGTTGGTGCCATTGAAAACTTTGGCATAACTATGGGAACTGAGCCACGAGCTTGCTAAGCTCTTATGGATGGGAGAAACCATGCAGTAAAGAGGTAGCATCCTGGTTTGTTCTCTTCTGCTCACCCATCTATGCTTTAGAGTGTCTAAAACTGCATTTAAAAGCACAGAGAAACCTGTAAATTAAAATTACTCTCTGGGGGGAGCTAGGAAGGAGACCACTGTTGTTGCATGTGCCAGGTGGGAATAACCACGGCTTTTGGTAATAAGTTGCTCATGGCCGCATTCCTCCCAGGTGGGATGAAGGAGATCACGCTGCACACCAACAGGCAGTACCTGCGGGGCCTTGTGGGATGCATCTCCCACCTCACACTCTCCATGGATTATCACAGCTCGCTCGTGGAGGATGCAGCTGATGGGAAGAATATCAACATGTGTGGGACCAAGTGACAAGAGAGGAACCATGGCGCGGAGAGCCCGTTGTGCACTTGCGTGTGTGACTGAAACCGCGCTGGCCACCACAGTCCTCTATGGCCAGGCTGTGTTTGCCATTGGAGCCGAAGGGAAGCCCTAAGGAAGGACATTTTCCCTCTCCTTTCCTCTGCTGACCAAAGCAAACAGAACTGAGTGTTTTGTGTAGGAACCGTCCCTTTTAGCCATTAAATGTTTAGTGAACACTAAAGATTGTACGCCGGTGCAAATGGCAAAGAACTGTGTGATGCAATAAGTAGTGTAATGACTGTGTTGTGGTCCATAGGTTAATTCTTTTAATATCAAAGAGAACAGTTTTGAAACACCTGCATTCATTCCAGCCTAGAATGATACAAGGATTGCATTGTTCAGCACACATATTATCAGGCACTGTATCTATGTATTCAAGTACTGGTACCAGAATGAGCAGTTCTTCTTAGCACTTGATGAATTAGCTAAATCATGTTTTATCCTATGTAAATAATACCCACAGTGACTGGTTTCAAAATATTGTTGTTTGTTGAGGAGGAAAGTTCTTAAAGTCTACTTTTTTATTACAAGCAACAAGATCAATGAACCAATTTTGTAGAAGTAATTTTATACTTGTATATTTTTTTATAGCAGCAGCAGACCTACTTACATAGTATAACTTTTAACATTTAGGTGTACTATACAATTAGTTCTTTGCACACTTTCCCAAAAATAGCAAAGCAAACCATGGTTTAAATTTGTTATATCGGAGGCTCATGTCTGTATTATACAGTTTTGGTGAGTGCTTGAACTAAGTGTAAGCAAAGTGAGTGCTCAGGCAGCACCTCGGAAAGGAAGAAGGTAAATGGGATCTGATGCTCTGGGATGCAAAGGGAAAAAGTGCAAATGAAGGGTTGGGACTCAGCTTTGTGGAGGCTGAAGCCGAAGCTGCAGCAGCCCTGCCGGGGCCCGTGGAGAAGCAGCCTCAGCACAGGTTGTCTCTCAGCTGTTGGCTCTTGGCTAGGAAAGAGTCACCTTACGTATGTGCTGGGACTCTTCCTAAGCAGTAGCTACCAGCGTGGACCTGACACAGCGTGGCAAGACCTGCTAGCCCAGTGAAACCCTGGTCCTTCAGACCTGCCATGCTACCCATGAGAAGGGACAGCATTATTCCAGAAACAGCATAAGTCACTGCTTTGTCACATATGCTTTTACTTTTTCCATCTGGTTCTTTAAAGTACCTTTTCATTTCTGTCACAGTGTTTGGAGATCAGTTCCAAGGCAAACATCTAGCAGGACAGGTCTCTATTTTAAGAGCATTTACTGCAGAATAACAGGCACTTTGGTACAGGGCGATAGTTCTTCAGACGAAAGCTGCTCTTGGAAATGTGCATGTGGGGGGAGCTTGGGTAGGAAATACCTCTGTTGTTATGTGGAAAAGAAACAAACTGCAGCTTCAAAAAATGCCTGTTTCCAAAAGTATGTATCACTCCAAGGGAATTTGGGCAGGCCTCATTGAGCCTGCATCTTCCCATGTCGAGCCCCAGTAGCTGCAGCTGGATGGCAGGTGCTGTGGGGAGCAAGGGTTGCGACGGTGCTGTGGGTTTGAGTTCCTTAAACAAAGAAAAATCCTTTCTGGAGCCTTTTAGAGACAGTCTCAAGCACTTCCAGCAAGCAGAGTGGAAGAGCCAAAGCCGCTGTCCCTGCTGTCCCACAGGCAGCATCCTGCTGCTGACATTTCCAACGCATGTGGCGGCCACATGTGCCAGGTGGGACCATGACTCCCAGCAGTGGGTCCCTGCTGGCCTGCAAAGTCTCAAATAGTCTCATTAGCAAGAAATAGGTGCCAGAAATGCAGAAACACTTGACTATCTGGAGGCCATTCACCCTGTCAATCTGAGTCAGGGAAGGGGAGCAGGAAGGGGGATAGCTGCTGACAAAGCCATGGCTCATTTTCACAAGAACTTTCCTGGGATGTGTTGTCTGACGCTTTCATGTCTGTTTGTCAATCACGGCATTGGGTGGCCAAGTGCATCTGCTGCTGGACACAACTGTGGCACTCTGCTTAGTCCAGACACTCTGCTATAGTCCCACATGAGCTGATAGGGTGGGAAGAGAAGAAGGAAAAAAGCCATTCACCTGCAGCTGGCACTGGCAGTTTGGAAAACTGGATTTGGGTTTCTTTCCGAGGCAGTGATGGCAAGGAGGTCAGCAAATGGCTGCTGGGCATCTGGCTGCTTGCCCCAGACAGGGCTTGGGGTAGCAGGGCAAGAAAGGCAGCAGCAGTAAAGCTGCAAATACTTGTTCCCTAGCAGTACTAGCCCTTTCCTACTGAGGCTGCTAAAGGTGCAGAGCTGAGGTTTGTCAGTGTGTTTCTGAGCAGGTAGGAAGACAGCAGACAGTGAGAAAAACTTAAAGTATTAGAAAATGGCCTTGAAAATGAGCCCTGAAGTCCTAAGACTTCCAACCTCTCTCTCCAAAACAAATCCCAGGTGCTGTTGCCAGTTTTTCTGCCTTTGCCCTAAAAGACCTTCTGAGGTTGCAGCTCTTCCCATGGCTCCAGCACACAGGTGGCAGCAGTGCAGTGGAGCAGCTTCGCCCACGTGGTTTTGGCCTGGAGGGAGAGCAAAGGGCCCACAAATGCCAGTTAGCACAGGGAGCCGTGAAGCATTTTTTTTTCTCCTCTAAAGTGAAATCTTGCCCTAAGCCAGGGCACTGCCTGCTGCACTGTGAGCAACCCTCCCGCCTGCTGTTTTTTCTGCAGTTTGAGTCATCGCGTTGCTAAATCTCAAACACTGTGGCAAGCCTCTGGCACAAGGAGGTCCTGCAGGGCAAACAAGCAGCCCTGCATTGGCACAGCAGCTTCACACAGACTTGCCTGAAAAAAAGAAAAGAAAGGTCATCTCCATTTTTTTATTAGTATTTTTATTATTACTATTTTATCGGAGGCAGTAGTGGGGATATGGGAAGGGGATGAGGTGAGGTGGTGGATGAGGCAATAAAATAGCTCCTAGGAGCTGAGAACATCCTCTGAACCTGGCTCAACAGGTGGTAGTTCCAACCCCAGTAGGTGCTTCCTGAGCCTCAAGGTAGGCACCGCCCTGCAGTCTGAATCCCAGGAAAAACAGTAGGCTTTGGACAAGGTGCTCACCTGCATCTCCTATCTCAAACTACCACCATAGGCTTTAGCCTTCAAATCTGTTGACCAAGGAAAAGCAAATATCCAGGTCTGGGCACAGCAGGGAAAAGTAATTTTTAGCCCCTGCAGACAGGAGAAATCACTGGGAATGGCAGATCCAGCCTGGCACAGAGGAGCAGCTGGCAGCAAGCAGGTAGCATTGGGATGGCAGCACCTCTGCACATCAGCTCCATGAGAACATCGCCAATCATGTCCATCTGACAGGAGGGTTACACAGAGCCCCAGACAGCAGCCTGCAGAGGCCAGTGAGGAGCACAGCCTCCATTAACCTAATTGTCCCTATGTCCCTGTCTCTCCCTCTCTCTCTCTCTCTCCCTCTCTCCCT